ATGGAAATTCATGTTCAATCTTTCATTCAAACCGTTTTAACTGGATGACTACTAACTCCTAACTTTAGACTCCTTTTAAAGGATTCAGATAACCACACAGGAAAGGTCTTTGCAAACCTGTTGAGCTAAAACAGAGTCACAAGCAGGTGATGCACAGAGCCAGGCACCTCTGCATGCTCCCTGTGGATAGCTGGTCCCATGCTGGCCCTGCTCTGCACAAGCCATCACTCCTGAAGTATCACAGGTTGAATAAAGAAGAGCATTTGGCCTTTGCTGCATTTGTTGCCCAGAGGAGGGTGTTTAACCACTTGACTTTAAAGAGGAACTTTTCATAAGTGATTTCTCCCTCTTCACCTGGGGTCTAGCAAACATTTATCATACAGTTTGAAGATCAGAAAGACCAATATATCCATTTCTGTCAGTTTTATGGGGCTCAGGCAAATTAAACCATAGTTGAACTTCAACTATCCCAAGGTGAACTTTAGCTATCCCACATATTTCTTATTTTTTGTCTTGCCAGGGCAAGTTTTCATTACTATTTCTGTTGGTCTAGATTTAAAGATCCAAATAGTAGACCCTCTACTACCACTTTTGAGAAACCATTCCACATCTTAACAGATCTCACTGCAAGGAGCACTGCCTGACTTCCTCTTTTAATTTACCCTCTTGATTTCACTTTCTGTCCCACCATCCTGAGTGCTTCCTGGCATTTATGAGTGATGAGGTAATATGCAGCTCCAGCTGGATTTCCATCTCCTTTTGCTGTGCTGCAGAGCTACCACTTTTGATACCTCATCTCAGGGACCCAGTCCTGGGAATGGAGCTGCACCTCTGCTGCTGGTGGCACCTCAGAGTGGGGTGTCCTTGAGGTGGGACAACCTTCCCAGATACAAGGAAGGAAGAAATGCCTGCAGCCATCCCACCCCACTGCAAGCTCTGCAGTCAATTCGACTACCCCAGAGACGAGACAAACATTTTATATTAGACTTGGCTGTGGCTGAATGGCTCGTGCAGTTCCTCTGCTCCCTCCTTAAGTGTGACCTTAATATTTTATTTATTGTTTAAGGGATAATGTTCATGGTAGGGGAATATATGAGGCAATAAATGGCCTTTGCAGGTAATTAAACGCTGAAGAGAGTTCAAGCTATTGATAGCCATAAAAGCCATTTATTCTGAGTGTGCTCTGAAGCCAAAAGTGCTGTTCTTCATCGCATGCAACAAGACAAGATTAAACAAGTCACAGCACTAGGAAGGGGAAACACAACATTTTTCTTGCCCTCCTAGGGCTTGAAATTTCTGAGCCGTCATTTATTTGGTGCTTTGAGCTGAAAATATTGATCCTAATAATATGTACTTTCCTATCATGTTGTTCTTTTTTCCTGGAACAGTTTCGGAAGGACTTGTGGAATTTGTGCAATTTGAGGAAAAAATCATTGTCCTCATCGGGCGGATGCTGAAAGGAAGGCACAGCAGGGAAGGGTAACTTGCTCATGCAATCAGTGGGAAGGTCTCCGACAAAATCCAGCTCCTGGATCCCAGCCTGATGTCTCACCTACTAGTCACACACTGAAAAAGTACATTGCTATGACCCTTCTCTTACAAGCTTTTCAAGTGCTTATTGAAAGCACTGCTGTCGCACAGAGTGTCTCCCTCTCCTGCTATGCTTCTGCTCTATACCTACAGCCACTGGCAGAAGCAGTACTTTCTGCTGCAGGCAGAGGTAGGGGACACCATATAGTATCTAAATACACAATAGTTTTCTCCAACATACATTTGACTTGGCGTTGGGGAGAGGAGCAAGGCTAGGCAGGGACTTCTTCATAGACCTTTCATCTTCCCCACTGTGGAGGACCAGGATAGATGGTGGCCACTTGAGTCCCTGGGCAAAGCAGAAGATTGCAACTACCACATAAATACAGCTGTGCTCTCTGTGTGGAGCACAGCAATTGCCTAACAACACAACAGAGCCAAAACTCAATGTTTAGGACAGAAAGAGCAAGGAAAACGTCAACCCTCAGGACAAAGTAGATGCTTGTCAAGCTCAATGCTTGTGCCAGGTGGCATCTCAGGCATCACTGAAGCTCAGGCAAGAAGCCAGGCATCTCCAGGGGCAAAGTCCTCAGAGTCCTCCCGCAGCTGCTCCCCACCATTGCTCTCGCAAGCCAAAAAGCCCCCTCAGATGCTCCAAGACATGACAAGTCCATGCAGTCACTGCCCTTAGGAGAGGGGCAGAGAAGGACACTAACACCACACGTATGGCTGCTGAATTGCAGCATGTATTAGCTGAGCACACAGAGCACCAGAGGGCAACACGTCCTCAACTATAGTAGTTGCAGAGGCCATGGCTTCATGCAGCTTGGTGAGTGCATCGTTCTTAGACATATAAAACATCCCTCTAAGAGATATATGCATATATCAACAAATCCCAGCTGGCCCTTATGTAGCAATTAGCATTTGGCAGTTTACTGTGAGCATAGGTGAGTTATGGCTTTGGGGCATGTGCTTCAGGGCAAGGTTAAAAGGTGCCTCCTGAGTGGTGTAAGTGGATTAATATGACTGGACACGGTGCCGGCTTCTCCCTTCCCTTCTGCCAATGTAAATCAAGAGTAACTGCGCTGAAGTCAATACATGTATTAAATTCATTGGTACACGGGGGGTGACAGGCACATGATTTTGAAAGAAAGAACATCTCCATTACAAGCTGGAGAAGAGCAACAAGCAGAAATCCAGCGGCTTTGCCCAGTTTCCTGTGGTTCTTCATTCTGGCACCGCCCTGTCCATGGAACCCATCCAGACCCAGTGGGTCTCCCAAACCCACCTGTGTGAAGAACTCCCAGGGTCCTGCTTACTACCATGGCCACAGGGAAGCTGCCGGCTGTGCTGTGCCTGCCTCTGCCTGTGTGACCTGCTGCAGAGAAGCCCAGGCTCCCATGGAGATGGGAAAGGGACTCAGGAATGCAGCACTCACCATAAGTGCACCCTGAGCTGTAGTTAACCCATGGAGCCACATGAAGGGCTGGAGGCCAGTCCAGGCACAGCCCAGCCATGGGCAGATTGGTTCTGAGCTGACATGGGCTCAGTGTGGGAGAGGTAGGATTTTCCTCCCTCCAAAATTCCCTATGACACATGGGGATCCCACTTTACATGGTGGATCTAACTCCTCCCTAACTGCCTTTGGGTCTGCTCTGCAGCTGGGCAGCAATCTTGCAGGCTGCCCAAATTACACTAACTCCTTGTACCAAAGCGATATCGGGGAGTGCAGTGCAAAATGCCCTACAGCTTGTAACCAGCCTGCCCCTTCCTGATGAAAGCTCCCCATCCCTACCTCATGTTAAGACACCAAGCAAGACTAGCACCCAGCCTGGCACAAGCTGCTATGGGAACTGTATATTTTGGCAGGATTTAACACTCAGCACTCCAGAAACTTGAACGTGTCAGGAAGCTTTTTCAATAGGAAAAAAGGAAACCTCTAAATTGCTAAAGAAAAAATCAGTGCAAAACAAAACAATTTATAACCAGCGACTTCTAGAGCAGGATTAGAGTACACCAGCTCACCAGCTGTTCCTCTTGTCTCCTTTATGAGCATGGTGGTGGGGTAAGGGTGCTTTTGGTGAGTTGCTCAGTCTTGAAGATCTGGAAGTGATCCCTGTGAAGCTGATAGTCTCTGCAAACAGTGCAACAGGTTGCACTGCTCTCTGAGAGTCTCTTGTGCTGCAGAGCGAGTGCCAGGGCTGACGTGACCGCACACGAGGCAGGAGCAGACGCCAGTGCCTGTTGCCTGGCACATGGATGGGTCCAAACCACAAGGAAGCAGACACCGAGGAAGAGGGCTGAGCAAGCAGCCAGTCTGCCTCAGCCTGCAGTCTGCAGAGAGTGACACGGACCACCTCTGGTCTTTCCTCCAGAGATGCCTCCTTCTCTCTCTGATGAGGACCATACGTCAGCTGAAATGGCGAGCTCAGTTTTGGGCCTCATGTGTATGTGAAGGTGAAATCCCCATAACTCGTTGCCACTTGCCTCCTTGGTGAGCTGACACCTATCCCAGCATGGTCCTGAGGAGGTCATTTTTCCTCCACAAAGCCCACCACTGCAAGTCCCTGCAACTCACTCGTGGCTTTGGTGTATAAAGCACACCCTTAAGTTCCTCCTGGTACACAACTGATCTGCAGATCACAACTGTGGACACTCGAACCTCTTCTCAGCTGCCAGCATGTAACTGCCATTAAACTGCATGGGGGTTGTATGCAAGCATCAGAGAGAGAGTGTTCCCCCTCAAACCCAACATTCTTGGTAATAGAAGGCAAAATAATTTAAGTCAGCGGAAGGACTGCAGGTGAGATGGAGGTTCAGGTTGATTGATGGAGATGGAGGTTGATTTTGCATCTTTCAGTGGGGTGCTGCTCCCAGACCCAGTTCCAGGCAAGCCTTTCTAAATTTGCATGCTTCGCCTCAGAGCCTCCCACTGCAGATGTGGCCCTGCACTGGGTGTTTCAGCATGGGTTGCCCCGCTCCACAAGAAGGAAACCCAGGCATGTGTCTGAAATGGGAGCTAATGTCTAGGGAGCCAACAATGTCTAATGGAAGCCAACTCAACTCCCTAATATAGCAGTTGAGCTGGACAGAGACAACAATTCTCCCTCTGCCAACCTGCCTCTCTGAAATTTTCAGGAACATAATCTCTTAGAGACTTCTGCAATGGTCATGTATGGTTAAACAGGCCCAAAGTTATGGCAAGTACTGATGGAAAGTTGGACAACATGATCACACAAGCCCGTTTGCTTAGCAAGAAAAAGTAAAATAAACAAAGACATATTATATCATTAAAAAAAATTACTATAGCACAGTGGCTCCTCAACACAGCGGATCTCAGATGAAACCTTCTTTAACAGCCATGAAGGAAAAATACTCCCTAGGATACACAGTATACCCAAGACCAAAATAATACATACATCCTTTTTAGCTGTATTAAGTCTTGAGCCCAAGTTGATGAGGCCGCCTACCTGCCTCCATGCGTCCGTTCTCATACCCCTCCGGGCTTTCGGGCACGGTGCTGTATGGCTGGAAAGGCTGGTTGCTGAAGAGGTTGTCGCACAAGAGGCTGCGGCAGAGCTTCTTCAGGAAGCGCAGGACGTACCCAATGCTGTTCACCACCAGCAGGCTCAGGAGATGCTGCTTCCCCTCAAAGGAAGCTGAAACTGGAGAGCAAGCAAGAGCAGGTGAGCATCCAGGAGTGCACGGCAGGAGGAGGAATGGGATGGGTGTCTTTGGAGAGCAGGGAAAAGGAGTTAAAACGCAAACGTTCGTTTGCGTGCCTTAAAGTATTTCACATAATTACTCCCCCCCACTCCCCTGAGATAGGAACAAGCTGAAGGAGCTCGGGGAGCTGAGTTTGTGTGACCCAGATCACCCTTCCGGGAAACGCTGAAAGATGCAGATTGGCACAGCCAGCGGTGCAAGGATTTCTAATACGCGCACTCAGCTGAAAAGTGTGCAGCATGGTGGGAGGAAAGCAATTACAATGTCCTCGTCTGAGGAAGGGGAAAGAAAACGTCCTGCCAATGACAGGCGATTAGGCTGGCTTCGACAGGGCCCAAGGTGTTAAAAGAAAATTGCTAGAGGAGAATGAAAGACATGACTGCGAACGGAATAAAAGGCACCGGGGTTTTACCTGAGAGAGGTCTGCCAGACTAACCGGGGGTCTTTATTTGCTGAGATAATTGCATTTGTAGGCAAGGAAAGGGTGGTAGTTGTCATTGTAATCCCTATTTGGAATTCAGTAAAGCGTGAGAAATCTTTTGTCAAGCTGGAAGTGATTTTGTACAAAAGGTGGGTCAAGGGAGGAGAGAATGGGGGGAGAAAGACACACTCAGAAGATACTCATGAGGCACCAAGATGGCAAGGGGATGAATAGGTAAATGTATTTCCAGGAGACATCAGACATGGCATCTCCAGGAGGGACTGCAGGAGAGTGTCACTTCCAGGATACTCAGTCTTAGTGAAACCAGTTATGGAAGGGCATCCACCGTTCTGGTAACTCATGCTCAGGAGAGGTGGATCCACAGTCAACCAGGTGCACAGGTGGCTCACAGGAGTGCTCAGGGAACACCAAATTTCCCCTTCCAGCTCTCACTGCAGTGGTCAGGCCCTGAGAACCACCCCCTTTGCTGTGTGGTGCCGTGGGATGATGCTTGCACCCAGGACTGTCACTAATGCAGCATCTGCACAGAGCAGAGAAGACCTGAGAGCAACCGGCTATTGCAGTCTAACAAAATGAGGGCCTGCACTCTTATCACTCTATCTAGCTTGTTTATAAGCTGCACGGCAGGCCAGAGCTTGGACTCCCTCCCAAGAGGGTCCCAGAGCACTGCAAACTCATGTGGTCCCTGCAGAACTGAGTGGACTTGCAGTGCTTGGCTCTGTATTGGTGTCCACCTCATCCATGGAAGTTCATCAGAGAGCATGGTGCCTGTATTCCCATTCATTTCTTTTGCATTTCCCCCTTGCTAAAAATGTGTTGTGAAGTAAAGCTCTGGCTGTGATTAAGAAAAAACAGACAGGTTTGCATTCACTCTGAGAGACAGGTCTGGAGATCCCAGCATGGGACATGAGAGACACAAGAGATCCCAGCATGGGACATGGGACACACGCTCCTCTTGAATCTGCAAGGAAGGTCCTTCCATGAGGAGCTCCTAGGAATTCCCCCTGTGCTTTATCTCCTCCACCTCTGTTTACCATTTTTCCGTCTGCCCTTTCCAAGAGGGTCCCGGCAGCACTGGGGTGGAAAGAGGACAGGGGAGCAGACCGGACTCGGCTTTGCTGGAGCTGTAACACAGCCACGTCAAGAGGAGCAGAGCGTTCTGGTGGCCCGGCGAGCGTTCCCAGCGCTTTACCTGACACCGCCTCGGCTCCGTAGCCCTGCTTGAGGAGGGCGAAGACGGCCTTCTGCTGGAGCGCGCAGTCGATGCAGGCCTGCACGGCGTGCTGCAGCACGGCCGCGGGCCGCGCGGGCCCCAAGCGCTCGGGGAGCTGCTGCACCTTCCTCCTGTCAAGGTACGGCCCCACGTTAGCCTGCTTGTTGACGTAAACGGAGACTGTGGACACAAAAGCCCGGCAAGGTTATTACGTGGGGGCCCTCCGAGCAGCCCAGCCCATGCTACCTTTGTACGTTGCTGTTTGTTTTGTGTGCTTTTTTACTCTTTTGTGGGCTAGCATCATGGCCACTTGCAAGAGCGCAGCACAGTCACGCTCTTGCAGGCTCCCTCCGTGCATGCAGCTGGTGACCAACGCATGTGCCCAGGGAGCACAGGACAGAAGCCAGCAGGAGCGAGCAGGCAACAGACTTCAAAAATTCCAACCTGGGATATTTTCATATGTGCTTTTAGACCTATTCCTTGAGCCTCCTGCTTTGGAAAGCAGTGCTCTGAGCGGCAGTGTAGGAGACGGTGGTTCCTCACTGCTTCCCACCGTGTCACGGCTGCAGTTTCTGTAGGGTGATAGCGGTGCGCTGAGATATGCTGTGTGAGGCCAGAGGGAAAATAAAATAAAATAAAATAAAATAAAATAAAATAAAATAAAATAAAATAAAATAAAATAAAATAAAATAAAATAAAATAAAATAAAATAAAATAAAATAAAATAAAATAAAATAAAATAAAATAAAATAAAATAAAATAAAATAAAATAAAAACAGAACTCCTGGGACTTTTGGGCCCCTCCACGTCCCATGCTTCCTCTCTAAGGATGCTCTTGGACCAAGACACACCTCAGCGGTCACATCTCGCTACCACGAACTCATTTTAAGCTCAGCTGAGGCTAGATCCATCTCGGAGGAAGTGGAGATAATGCTGTGGTAACTAAGGGTGACTAAGACAAAGCCTAAAGTCAGGCTAAAGTGAGACATATTACAATAGCTGGCTGAGTGTGCTCAAGCTGTCATCTCCCAGACAATATAACATTATCCGCTGACAGAAATCAGATATGTGACAAAAAACATAAAGCAGCGTGGAGGACAAGATGACAGCTGTGTAAAGTTGGAAATAATTTACAGTTTGCATCACCATAATGAAAATCTAGTGTGGATGTCACAGCACACGCTGCTACCACATCTCCTCCTGAGCAGCAGAAGGGGCCCAAGCAGTATATCCTGGGTAAATAGGAGCATAATAGCAATCACACTTATCATTACATAGCACTTTACACCTTCAAAGTGCCAAACAAACAAAAGGATAAGCTAGCAAAAAACGGCAGCAGCAGCAAGCATGGATTGCAAGGAGCTGTCAGGGTGCAGCTTTCCTGGAAAAACGCAGCCAAATTTGCAGAATGGGGCTTCTGCACAGCCCCTCAGATGGGCCTTGTCCTGGTGCTCCCCTCCCGAAACGGAGGGAGCTGCGTCGCTGGGAAGGGCTGCTTGGTTAATGTTTCCCAAGCGGCTTGCTGTCCTTTGGTGCGGAGGGATAAATGAGAACAGGATATGTTATTATTGTCGCTACGTTCAGTATTGTTTTGCTACCAGAGCAGATGGAAAACTTCACCTCTGTGCATCTCGGCTGAGGAATAATGGGCTTTATATGTTACTTTGGTTCTTAATGTTACTGAATCTATTTCTGTGCTGAAATTTCAGGGTAAATCAAATTCCTTGGGATTTTTTTTGGCTGATATTCTTCTCATTTACATCAGTTTAACCCCATCAGCCTGCATTCCTTCTGGTATACTCTTCCCTAAAGGCAGATTGAGTGATCAGGTCTCCTACTGCTACAAGTCATTGGATTCTAAGTGCTGTTAACCCTGGCTACAGCCTAACTATTGGTCCCCCACTTCTCATTGACACCAGCATTCAGTCTGGCCATCCCTACACCCTTTGCAGCATGAGTGTGAGGTAGTTATCTGGGATATGCTGCTGTCCATAGTTCAAGAGAAATGCATCTGTGGTCTCTCCTAAACTTGAGCCTATCCCAACGTGTGCTACCAAGGCACGGGGTCTTGCAGAACATCTCCACTCTGTGTGCCTGGCCATCCATCCCAATTGCATTGTTTGTCCCAAAGTGAGCTGTGGCAGCTCATATCTGTGTATACCACATACCCAGCACCTGCTTGCCCTTGGCCAAGGAGTACATAGGTGAGCCTATAGGTACCTGTGAGAGCTTGCGGGGCGGCCGTGGTGGGTATCGTAGCTGCGTCCTGCGGGATTGAGCTAATGTCGGGCTCCGGCGTGCTCCTCGGAGGAGAGATTGCTAGCGGTGGCATCAGCACACGAGACTTCAGCTGCAAGAAACAACCAGCTTGGGTGAGGAGGCTCTAGGCAAGGTGTCTCTGTGCTGCTCCATGTGCATCACTCACCACAGTGAGTTCCTGCTCACTGGCTACCTGCTCTTGCACCGCTTCCTTCCAGGGCAGGCATCTCCTTCCTGGACAGGGACTGGAGGCTGGCAGTGATTTGCAGCAGCAAGCAACACTCTGAGGTACCGAATGCAAATATTATGCCACCCACTGGGTAGTTATTTACACGTGAGCAAATTGGGTGTAAAACACTAACAAATCAAGGCAGTGGCATTTTACAGCATCTCGTGCTGGTGTAAATAATTTTGCAGGGGGAAACTCCAGATCTTTAACTACCCCATAATTTAGGGGAGAATTCTGCTCCTGGGTGCAAAGGTGTAAATCTCACACAACTCCAATGACACCACAGGGCTCCTTTGGGCTGCCACCCATGCGAGTAAGGCAAGGGCTCAACTCAGACCCTGGTCGATAGGCTGTGATTACAGGGCAGTAAATACAAACTGCTGCACCGTTGCACACTGCAGTGCTAGTGGCTCGCAGTGCGGGCTAGAGAAATGAAACAGGATGAGGATTTACCATGCAACACTACTAGGTTTTTACGCTGCCAATATCTGGCACTGTCTCCAGTAAACGATGTTGTGTTCCTCACGACTATAAAGGGCTGCCGTGATGTGTGAGACCTGGAAGCATCACCCTCATTTTTCCTTTTGTTACAAAAGGAAGCGAGACGAAAGCAGAGTCAGGCACACGAGAGAATATCTTACATATTTATATATTCCACACCAAGCCATTCTGCTGGCAAGTGATATTTTTGCTGTTGTTTTTCAGTGGCCGAATGTAAAATGCCACAAGTGACGAGTCTGAGAACAAGAACAAATTATTAGGCCTGCTGAACTAACAGAGAGCATCGCTTCTCCCAGAGCTTGCACCCAGGCCGGGAATAACATAGAGATCATATCTCGATAGAAAAGAATCTAGATCATTATCTAGAAACCCAAACCTTGAGCAAGATATGGCTTTTTGGATGATGATTTGTGTCATGCAGTGGTTTTCAGTTATGTTTCAAATAATTGTCACATTCAGCCTCCTCAGGCCCTTTCACCTCCATGGGGAATGGGCAGCTCAGGCTCAGGCAGCTCCTGGATGAAGGCTCTGATTCCCCCGGTATTTGGACAGGGATTCAGGATAGCTTCCCGTCCGCTGAGCCACAAGCAAACTGCCTCTCACCCCTGCCATTATTCTGGTTGGGACTAAAAGCCTGAATAGAGCAAACCTTTGGTAGTGTGTCTGAGATAAGCAATGGATTTTACCACCCTAGTGGGTGCAAGAAATAGGTGGTTCCTGAATTGTTCCAGCTCATAAGGCAGAATGAAGGGGCTGAAATACTTTGTACCAACACCTGGGGAAGCAGCTCAGCTTGTTTGCTTCTTCAGAAGGCAGCAGTGATGCTGCACTGCTCATTGCTACTCGGGGTACTACATTTTGCAGCAAGAAAGACCAAAAATTGAAAGGATCCAAAACCCAGGCGGTGCTCAGGCCAAGCAGCTGCAGCCATGCGACGCAAGGCTGTGTGAAAATACACGTGCTTGGGCAGAGGCTGCGAGCACCTGAGAATGCTGCCCAGCGGGCACATTTGGCCGAGGGCAGTGCAGGTTTGCCAGCCCCTGCCGACCCTGCCTGCCTCCTTTTCTGGGCCCTTGGAGGCACAGCTGGGCTGGCGTGGAAGAGCAAATAAGCACAGGGCAAGACTTGCGTAAACGCTGCAGCGCCCAAGCCCCTTCTTGGCAATTTGCTGTTTCAGGGAACAGTTCACTGCAAATTTAATTGCATCAGTATGTGCTCTGCTGCTTCTGGTTACAGCTAAATGCTGTTTTTATTAGGAGTAACAGGGAATACTCCTTCATTAGATCAAAATAAAACAACGCCTGATTACAGAAGGCAGTACAGTAAGGAACACTGCTGAAATCTGGACACTGAAGCCCTCAGTAGTCACTGAACATCACTAGGTGCAAATCTCCCAAGTATTTAATTTAAAGATGTCTTGGACTGCTTCTTCTCTATCAAAAAGTCAACTGAATGAAGCAACTGACTGACTGAGAGCTCGGCAACAGAGCACACGTTCACAGAAAAGTGGAAAAAGCAGGAAAGGAGAGAGAGAGGGAGAAGGAGTCAGAGACAGTCTGTCAGCGTACTATGGGCCACCTTGACAGTACAGCCTTCAAAACAGCTTTTGGATGTCAAATGTCATCAGTTTTTAATGTGCACAGTGGCACAAAGGAAGGCAATGGTTAGCTTAAGATGAGATATGCTCCCGCTCATCCAGTCTTATGGATCTTCTACCCTGGAAAAGAGATGAGGGAATGCTGATCAGGGATTTAGGGAAGAAAAATAAATCTGCCTACTTCAGTGAGGTCCCAGCACATTAGGTGCAACAAAGACTTGGGCTGATGTGTCAGTGATGCCTCCTGAACATGTATTTCAGTACGCAGCAGCTGCAGAAGAGGAAGGCACCACCAGACTCATGTGGGGGCTTCTATGATTCACACACCCTTACCAAGGACCCAGGAAAAATCTAGTGGGTATTTCTATCATCCCATATTGAAAAAAAGCAGTATATCCTGAAAGAGGAGGAAGAAAATTCTCAAAATATCCTTCTTTTCTCTGAGAAGTTCTCTGACAACTTCTAGCACAAAGTAAATGAAAACAAAGAGGAAAGAAACAAGATAGACTGTGAAGTGAAATGTCCTGGTGATTTTTAAAAATCACACACATTGTTGATCTTTGTCTTTATGGCTCCTATATTTCCTCTATTTTCTTTGTCCCTTGTCCTGACAAATAGTCTGATGGGAAAAGAATGGGGTGACCCTGTCCCCACGGGCTTGCATCCTACCAGGCAGGAGGACAAGAGTATGTTCTGGCCATAGCTTTTGTTGCTGAACGGAGAGGCACCTGCAGACACTTCAGCAGTGAGTGGAAACACACAGAGATATGAAAACCTGGCTAGTCTGATGCATGATTTTGACAGCTGAACAAAAAGGCAGCACTAAACCTCATCTGCACCCAGGCAAGTGCAGACTTTTCTTGCCATTGACTTGATTCTAGCCAGAAGAGCTTGGTCAGCACCAAGTCCTAGCAGTTATCATAGCATGGAGATCTTGAGGGAAGATCCATGATGTAAAATGTTCCAGATTGGAGGGCCTGGCCTTCAAGGTGGGAGCCAAGCCCAGCCACAGCAATCTCACAGGTAGTGGGACCTGCACACCAGGTGTGTTCAAGGGCTCAGCTTGGAGGAGCCCAGGGCACAAACTGCCCTTGGGCTGCTCTGTTGGGGCTCGCACCTTGAGGAGGGATGTGGTCTCCTTCACTGCAGCACCAGCCCCGTCAGCTCTGCCCCATGGATGCCTCTATCACTGCAATGTCCTCTAACGTGGGTAATTCTGCAATAACCTCTAACACGGGTACTTCTGCAATGTCCTCTAACGCCACTGATTCCTCTAATGCCACTAATACATCCCTAATACCGCGCTAAGCTCGGCTCAGCTCCCCTGTGGCACCTTCCTGCAGCACTTCCCAGGCACCAGGTCTGGCCAGGCAGCTGCCAAGAGCTGCCCCGTATTTACAGCCAGAGGAGTAAACCCGACCCTGCTCACTCCATGCTGGGCTGCCAGCACAGACATCTCCCTAAGGAGATTTAGGTAGTCAGGAGGAGCGCTGTATTTTAGGAAAACGTAGGATTTTATGGCAAATAGAGCTACATCAGATAAATTTTTTTTTTTTTTTTTTTTTTTGAAAAGCAGCTGATTAAATTTCATAACCACAGCTGTGAAAAAATAAGCAGGATAGCTGGGAAAAGGTCTTTACTCTGGTGTGAAACATGAAGAAATGCCATTTGTTGATGAGCACCTTAGGAAGGTACAGAGACTTGCTTTGAAAATGAGTGAAACCAGGCAATGGTTTATCTGGCTCTATAGAGCATGTGAATAAAAACATCTGTTATTCACATCTCAGTCAAAATAGTTTTAAATCTAGGCTGTCTATTCCTAGTTTGCTAAAAATTCAGAAGTATTTTTCCATCTGTTCTGTAATAATCCGGCTCTCTGGTTGCTATAAAGAATCTGGTTGGCTGCCATTTGGGCGGGGAGTCATTTTTTAAAAGGCATTTAAGTCTCAGAGTATCTGAAAAGTCATACAATTAGTGAGCTAATTAAATCACGCTAGAGATAGATACCCATCAAAAATGTATGCTTTGACACAGTGCTCAGAAATAGTTTTTCTCTGGAAAACAGTTCACTTCAGCCAAGTGTGCCGTGTCCACACAAGGACTCGTGGCAGGAAACCTTGCCTCGGTGTACAAATGCTGCAATGCAAACATATAGCACCAGGCTAGATGTCACGGATGGTACAGATTGTAAGTGACAGGGGCAGAAACTTAAGGCTTCCTTTGTGGAAGGACGCCTTTTCTCCTGGTTTTCATTCACCAAGAAATAGCTCCATGCCTGCAGGAGGGCAGAAACTTAGAGCAGGCTCCATCTCTCACGGTGGCCCAAACTCCCTCCTCTCTCCTTCTCTCATTGCCACCAATGGCGGTGCCACCGCCAGCCGGGAATGTTGTATTCCTACATACAAATATCATGACTTCAGACAAAAGGCATTTTTTCACAGGTGGGTAAGTGAGTCTGAGGTGGAACTGGTCAAACACCTCAATATTTGTTTTTCAAATCAGAGATGAAATGAAAATGCAGGAATGAGAAATGGGGAGCGGTCAGACAAGCAGAGGCAGAAGGGCTGGGGTCTGCTGAAACTCTACATGCAAGAACTCACGGTGACATTTAGCAAATCGCTAATCATCTCAGGGACTCACTTTCACCACCTCTCCAAAGTATTTTTATGACAGGCTTAGAAGGCATTTGAACGGTTTTGATCTGAGGATCCTGCAAGCCACCCAGCATTACTGGCAATAATTCAGATTACTGGTAAAGAAAAGTAACTGCAATAAAGTTATACAGATATTTCTGTCCCAGCATTTTAATCAAGTGAAAAATAATTTCTTTTGTATGTCCATATCCCAGGCTTTACAAAATACTAGAGTAATTGCTCCCAGTCTTAGCCTGGGCATGCAGTCCTACCTTACACTACCTCTATAAATCTTTGCAGTAGTCCCATGAGAAATATCCGAGCCTTCTGCCAGGCTGGCTCTGCTTGGCCACTGCTCTCATATCACTCACATTTTTCAGGAGAAGCTAATTTTTTTCAGAAGAAATGAGACACTGCTGCTCCAGTTGCCCCTTACTCATGTACAGGGCTTATGGGGAGCACGTCCACCATGTGTGCAGGGAACAAGAAGAGACAAGGTGGAGGATGAAGAAGATCTGGCAGAGGGTGAGAAGGAGAGATGGGCAAAGAGAAGAGTAACGGGCTGCAGGCAAAGCCAAGACCTGAGGAGCCGAGGAATTTGGTGTTGAGCACAGCACCTTGCGCTCCCCCATACCCGGCTATCCCAGGAAAGGATATGGCACTCCTGCAGCCAAAGGTTTTCTGTTCCCCACAGCGCTGCTTGTCTGGGTATGTTTTCACAGAGAAAACTGGGATATGAGCAGGAGGACAGGGCACTGCAAGTTGTGTCACTAAGGCCAAGTGCTGGAGAACAAAATGTGGATTTTAGCAATACCTGGATTGAGCCCATTTAAGGAAGGCTGGGGAAGGCTCTATATGTGCACCAGTTTTTATATTTGTATTTCTGTTTAGACATTGGAAACTTAGGAATGTTTTTTTTCTAGCATTCAATAATTTGGCAGCTTTGAGAAACATACGGTGTATCTATGACTTTCCCATGAAAAGCAAAGACCAGGAGTAACAAACATGTACTGTACATCTGCCTAGGCACAGAAATAGATGGAGAGAATGACAAAGCATTTTAGTCACAATGGAGCACCATTAACCATGCCATATAACTCCTTACTACTAATACAAATTAATAATAAGTTAATTCATAATAAATTAATTCATAATAATATATTAATTCTCTAATAAATCCACTAATAAATTCCCCTCCTTGCAGCAGCACGATCACTTTTTTTGCCTGGTTTGAGGAGCAATGATGGCCTGTGCTGTGCCCTGGCTCACCTTTCCAACAGGCTGGAGCTGAATTTCACCACTTACCTTGACAACGAGAGGATGACACTTCCCTCACTAAGAAAGTTGTTCCAGTTCACTGCTGGTGATGGCTTTCAAATCTACACTCCTGGCCTAGATTAAATGAGGTTTGTGGTCTTTGTCCAGCTCCTGCTGGGCAAATGTCCCTGTGACATAAATTTACCATTGCACCAGCAGTGCTGTCAGCTCTTTCCAGGTCCTGGAGCAAACTGTCCTCCCACCTTCAGAGGAGGTCTCCTCCAAGGAGATGTGGGAGGCACTGACCCTGCTCCTGTTGTGCTGAGGCTGCCTCCAGTCCCCCAGCAGTGCAGAGTGGCATTAGGATCACGGTTTTGACATTGGATATTTGTTTCTTCACTCCTTCTTGCTTGCCCAGGTATTATGGACAGCTGGTTGCAATTTCCCATCAAAGTCAACAGACAAAAAATTAAAATGGTCTTTCCTTCAGTGATATAAATCTCAGTACCTTCTAAAATATCTCACCTCTTTATGGAAATTGGTTTGGCTTTCTCCTTTTTTTTCCCCCCATTTTCCCAATTCATCCTTTTCTTTTCATTTTATTCCATTTCCCATCTTTTCCAGTGAAGTAGAAGAAAAAAAGGCGGTAAGTGAAAAATCAAAGGGGAGCACTTTCCAGAACATATGCAGACATCTCACAAAACACAAAAGGAGATGATTGATTTTCAAACACCTCAAGATCATACAATTTTAATAGTTGTTTTTAATATTTATTTCTTTTTATCAGCTTATATGAAAATGAAGCTTTAGCTTCTCCTTTTGCTGCATTGCTCTACAAAGCACTTTCACAACTTTACCTCAATTCTTGTGCTTCATCTGTAGTTCTAGGACAAAATTAATTAAACACAACAGGAGATGGAACAAGTGTGTAAAAATATGTGTACCTTGTACCCAGGTTTTCTCCCTCTCTTCTTTGGGATCTTCACTCCTGGCAAAGCACCAGCTGGCGCGGAGTAGAGGTTGTGAACAGCCATCTTCATGGGAGACGAGTGGAGCGGGGGCCGTCCTCGTTTCCTCCCTGGGATCCGGGGAGACTGCATGTCCACGGGGTCCAGCCTCGGTGGCAGGGATGACAAGTGACTCATCTGTGCAGGTGCTACGAATCAACCAGAAGAGAGAAGAAAAAGTGCTTTATTTTTCTGAGGAAGGGGGTCATCTGAAAGCAGAGCACCTCATAAATGCAGTGCCTCTCATAAAGCAGCAGTGAATGTGCTGCAGACACGCACTTCTGGATGGGATCCTCCTGACCACACGCAGCTTCTCTGAAGAGGGACAAAAGCCACCATGGCCATTTCTCTCTGCTGGCTGCAAATACAGTACAGGGGAGTAGCTCAAATGAAGAGGCCTCTATTGCAGGTATCTACAGGTGGACCCTCTGTTGTCATCTCCAACCCACATGGAGCAGTTTAGCACAATGAGGGCTGCTCTAGCTAGCACTTCTCTGTCTCCAGTGCATACCTATTTTTCCCATTGCCCAAGACTATGTGAGCAACCACAAGGACCAACCTGCTCCAAATTCACCGTTTCAACCCTGCTTTGACAGCGGGGCAGAAAAGACAACCTGTTGCAGTCCCTCCAGACCTGAACCGTTCTAGGATTCAGTGATTCTGCAATCATGGGTCTAATCCTGAAAGCCTCCCTCACCTTGGAAGTGCACTGGGAGCCGCACTAGAGAGCTACCCAACACCAGCTCTCTGCAGTGGTTGCAGCATCTGTTCCCAGGGGCACCGAGGGGGCTTTGGGACCTACTCCATCACAAACTGCTGGTTCCTCACAGCTCCACACAGCTGATGAAGTCGAGTAGGGGTAATGGAGTGGAATCCTGGCCATTTTCTTCCATCCAAGTATTAATAAAGAAAACAAATATACAAATATACACAGAGTATCGAGGAAATGTGCCACTTTCTTCAGAGCTTTTGGCAAAGGGCACATGTTAGCAAAGGACAAAAAGAAACGCCTGGATGTTTTCACACATTGTTTCATCCACACATCTGCTTTCCTGCCTGTGGACAGAAGAGCAGTCCCAGTCACGATATGCGTTCATTGCTAAACATAAAGGTATTGCCCGTTCTCATGCTTCTATGACAGGCCCTGCAACAGCTGACAGTTTCCATTTCATGCTCCCTCAGGCCAGTGATAACGGAGGGCTCCTTATTCTCCAGTTTTAGAGAGCAGGTTTCTCTGTAACCAAGAGAACCGGGCCCAACCAAGAGGGTACAGAGAAAAGTCTCAAGAGGTGATTCCAAAGCATCCTTGAAGTCCAGTAAAGCAGAACCCAACTAAAGATTTATTTATTACTACAGAAAAAAATTATAAACAGTTATAAGATCTATAAATAGCAAAAACCTGCAATTGTCACATTTTAAAATCTCATAATTTCAGAACCTTCAGTAGGATCAGACTGATCAGCATCAATATTGCTGGTAATGAAAATGAAGCTCCCACTTGCTGCGATGGGTTAGTGCTGCTTGACAGGGGGTCTCTGCCCAGTGCAAAGCATCTGCAGCTGGTGGGTCTCTACACCTCAGAGGCACATGCTTTGCCTAGGCAAGACTTTGCAAGTGTGACTGACAAGCAGCTCCAGTCTTACCCCTTCAGTAGTATCCACAGCCTGCTCTCGGATGAGAAAGCTGAAGTGTTCCTAGCCCTCCCTCCAGTGAATGCATATGTTTGCAATATGTTGAAAACTGATCTTTCTAATAACATTAGAGATAGCTGCTCATTTCACACCGACCGGCTACATAAGGCGGAAGTTCCCTGCCTAAAATGCTCGTGCAAACACTCAGCGTCTTGCACCGAATCAGAGCAAGGGCCGTGTGATGGATCTGCAGTGCCTGGCTCATCAGCCCTCGGGTGCTGAGGTTAGGTTGGATGGAGTCAGGCAGCTCAACAATGATGTGAAAGCTTGCCACGTTGGTTTGATTTCTGCCAAAGTAAGAGGCTTGTGTGTGTGTGCAGGTGAGTCTCCGAGGACTAAAAGCAGGTTTTACACAACAGGAGGCAAATGGAAAGGTTCTGCAAATCCTGAGCACATTTTCCTCCTTGTAGTACTTTCTGAGGGATACCTGTTGTGTCTCTTCCACCTCCAAAAACTAGAATCCCCAAGAGGTTATCAACCGGCCGATGGCCCTGATCTTACCTGGGAAGTGCAAGGATTGCACTGGATTTAATACAAAAATAACCCAGTGCCAGGAGCATGAATTTTCATTTTTGTTTCCTTTCTACCAAGCTTGGCAACATGAGCTTTCCCAGAGCATCTTCACAGAGATGAAGGAAGGAAAAAACCAAGCAAGCTGCTCCTTCTCGTGCAGAGGTCACATTCAAAGCTGCTCCTTCTCGTGTGGAGGTCACATTCCCTTATCAAATCCCAAGCATACGGTAGCAGAAAGCACCTCTCTCTACGCTGCCCCTCAGGCAAGCGCTGCGCAAAATCAGATCCTGCCAAAGGAGCTCGTGTGTCTCCCCTCATCTCTGTTGGTGGAAGGCCAAGGATAGAGAGACAAATAAGTCCTAGGTCAATCCTGATGAGTTCTAGGAGTTTTCTAGCAGCACGTGCTTTGTGTTGTGCTTGCCGTGCATCCTGTGCTAGCATATCTATGGTACAGCTAACACCACAACTTACCGTACTGACAACTGCACCTGGTAGCTGAGGGATCTCCAGTGCATCTCCTCCTAAGCTGAGTATATTTGATGGACTGCAATTTTCTTAATAAAAATAAAGGCCTGTAATAAATGCAGCTTTTAACCTGTGCTCCCATAACTGCAAGGGCTGAAGGTAAAAATATCACATTAAATTTTATATTGGTAATTCCAGAGAATGATCATTTAAACCTGGTGCACACCAGGTCTCATGCAGAGCTGTGTCTGGATTAGCACAGGGATGGTTCAACCATGGGGAAGAAACAAGCTATTTGTGCCTTATGCCAAAGAAAGCTGCAAAAATATTGTCGAGTAGAAAAAATATCCACTCCAAAGCAGCCAAAGGAGAATTCCTTGCGCTCTGGGTAGAGTCGCTGTTCCCAGCTGCAATAGAAGACCCCAGCCTGCACTGAGCGTAAAGGGCAGCTCTGTGCAGTAGCCTTCTTGAGGCACCGAGATCTTTTGAGGCAACAGCACTTTCAGCCCTGCCTCCAGCTCTTGACCCCTGCAGAGCTTCTCATCGCCCAGTTCTTGATGCTCAACATCATAGAATCACTGCAGTTGGCAAAGACCTTCAAGATCATCAAATCCAAGACATACATAGGTAGAAAGGGATAAACTTCTTCCAACGCTTGTGTGTGTGGATTTCCTTCAGCTGTTGCATGGTTCAGGAAAGCACACTCTGCACGGCAGGGACCACATCATTAAATGGAAGGGAGTGATGGCTTTTCAGCTAGCAGGGGGAATATTTGCCCCTCCTTCTCTGTGCTCAGCAGGGCAGTGCTTTGACTGCCACCATTCAGAGAGGATGGCCTACAGAACAGGGGAGCAAAGTGAGCAGTGCTGCTTGATCTGGAAGCAGAGCTTTATACCTGAGCACTCCTCTTGGGTAGCTTTGAGGAAGATGAGGAATTGCACGTCTTCATTAGGGTGTATGCTGAATACCAAAGCAGCATGGCACGGCACATGAAAAGTGTTTAATGAAACAGAGGGTAGGAAAATTCACTAATAAAATCACTGAACCCATATTCTCTGCCTGTCCAGGTTTGCTTGCCCAAGGGCACTATGTGGAGATCAAGCACCCATCCCACACTTGCTTAAATAGAGAAAGGTCTGGCTTGGCATGAGGTTCTTCTATGGTGCGGATGCAAAAATCCCCTCTTTTCTTGCCTAAGTGTCATGGGGTTTGAAGTGAGAGGAAGCAATTTCTCTGAGGGACCTTTCTGCCATTTTTGGCACCAGTGGGAGACTCATTACATAAAGACCTTGGGACTGTCCACTCAACAGGGATCTGAGTAGAAGGAACCATTTTCCCAAGTCAACAATTGAAGAAACAAAATACACATATATATCTGTGCAAGCTGTGGGAACCAGGAGTGGGATTCATCTCACCTAACTTCCATTCATTAGTCATCCCAGTAGAGGTGACTCCCATTTCAGACGTGATCTCCCTTAGACCCTGTGTTGCACTTGACAAAATGTCTTGGGCACCTCAGGCCAACACAAATGGTACTGGTGACTATTTTAGGAGACTGGATTTAGTCATAAGGAAGACTTTGGTAACAGATTTTAACACCTAATGGCATTTTTAGACAATGTAGACTAGTTTGGATATTTAGACATACAACACACATTGCAGAAGGAAACCCAACCGTTGTCACATGCTGATTCTCAAGGAAGAGTGGGCCAAATATCCTAGCACCTCTAACCTGGGCAAAACAAAACAGTTTCTAGAGTGGTTGAATTCTGCCAGCTTTCTCACATTTTAAGCTTTCTCAAAGCATTCAGAAAAGCCTGGAGAAAATTCAGCTCCTTTTTTGTTTTTTCTCTCATGGAGTCACTCTCAGGGAGTTATGATCCTTACAGCAAGGAGACATCTGTGACTACCCCCTTCTTGCACTGAGCAGCGCTGCAGCAGAGCCTGCAAGCGCTATGAGGAGGAATGAACGTGTTTTTGTTCTGCCTGTTCACAGCCTGTAAAAACATGGATTTCTAATGAGCTGTAATCTTCTGCTGGAGCTGGTAGCCATCTATCATGTTCTCCCTGCAGCACAGTAGGGATTTAGCTCTCCTTGATAGAGCTGAACGCAGCAGCAGCATCCAACCAAAATGTATGCCCGCACCCGTTACCGTGTAGACCCTGTTTGCCTACCTCGCCCTGGAGCCACCGCTTCAGACAGCGAGACAAGGGGTGATGGCAGCACTGCTGAAGGGTGCGTGGGGATGATTTTCTTCAGTGTAACCCTTATGTGCCCAAAAAACACTGAGCAAAGAAGTGGTCTGTGGTTTTTTTTCAGCCTCCTTCTCCGCAGAATAAGAATTTAGGTGCCCACAGTCTTGTTCTCTCATTTACTCCTAATGTGACTTTTTGAACATGTTGGCTCACTTAAACCAGATCTAATAAAGCATGAGAGGAAGCGATGCAAAGATT